CTGGCACTGCCGGCTGCTGCTTCCACTGCTGACCTCAGCCTGGGCAGGGCAAGCAGCTCCTGCCCATCGCGTGTCCCTCCAAGCTGCCGGCTGAAGCAGCGGGCAGGGGTTTAACTCCTGCGGGGCGGGGGGCATGGGGATGGCACGCTGCCCTCCTTGCGAGATGTTGGAGTGCCCGGCATCTGGCCCTGCGGAGGCTGTGGGGGCAGAAGGGCTGCAGCACAGGGGTCCCTGCCCGCGGTGTTTTGTGCAGGGAGGGCGTTTGCCTTCTCTGCAGGAACAGCCGCCTTGGGAGGCAGCGCAGGCAGCCCTTCCCTTCCTCCTCAAATGGTGAATGGCCGGACATTTGCCGAGATGGAGATTACGGCACACGTGCATCCGGATTTCTGCCTCACCGTGTCCATGAGAAAGCAGGGGGCACGTTGGAAACCTCGCCAAGCCCCATCCCTCTGCTCAGGGGGAATGGAGGCGGGAGGAAAGGGGCTGCCGGTTCCCCCACCAGCGACGGTGATGCCAAGGTACAGCACCCACGCACCCGCCACCGAGCGCCTTTGAAAACATGTCCCTCCCTCCCCGTGGGAGGTGTCCCTGTGCTGAGAGTGCCCCAGCTGCCCCGAGCAGCCCCTTGCCCTGGGCAGCAGACAAAGAGTGGGTACACAGGCACCCGCCCGGCCGCGGCGCTTTGGCAGGGCAGAGAAGCAAGCCATTGTCCCCGCGCACTGCCAGCCCCGGCGCCAGCTGCCGCCGAGGACCAGACCGGTGGAGGCTGCCTGGTGGGACGCAGCAGAGCCGGCAGCGCTTGCGGCATGGCCGGGCTGGTGGGACCAGCAGCAGCCCTGGTCCTCCTTTGCCTGGCCATGGGGCTGGAGGCCAGCCCGGAGCTCTCTGGTGAGTCAGGGCGACGAGATGCTGGGGACTGCGCCGGTGTGAAGGGAGGGCAAAGCGACACCCGGGTCGGTGGGGTAGGGACAAGCAAGGCACAAACCAGTGCAGGCCAAAGGGAGTTTGTCAAAAAAAATGGGTTTTTTTTTTTATCCCCATGGCAGGGCTTGGATCTGAAAACACCCTGTGGACATCCCACAGCCCCGATGTGAGCAAGGGTGTGGCTCCCCCTGCTGCTGCTGCGCTCCCTTGGACAGTTTGGAGGCAGAAATGAAAAAAAAACAAAAGACAGTCCCTGATCTTTCCTGAGACCCCCCTGGCCATGATGCCCATGCCCTCGGTGCTGGGTGGTGTGTGGAGCTGAAGGCTCCTGGAGCACCCAGGACTCCCCTGCAAGCCTTTGTTGCTCTGAGAAGGTGAGGGAAGAGATGGGCTGAAGCTCTACCCGGTCCCTGGCCAGAGCCGGTGACTGGATCCCCAGCCAGAGCCACCCATGAGCAGTGGGGCTGCAGGGTGCTCTGCCACAAGGCACAGCAAGGGCCAGATCTTCTCCCTGGGGGCAGCACTGGTGAGCCTCATAGATGTAGCCGAGGCAGAAATTTGGGATGCCTTGTCCCTCAGTGCTTGGGACAGTCAGGATAGGCAGCCAGGCTGGGCGCCTGGGGGCTGCTGTGCCTCTGAGGGGCCTTCTAGAGACAGCCACGCACACCCTCCACTCCACTCTGCTGGGCCCAGGCGGTGCAAGAGCCTGGCACGATGCTGCCGACTGCAGCAGGGCGGGCTGCAGCAGAGAGGATGTGATTTCATCTGGGCAGAGCTAACTGAAAACCACACCAACGGGGACTGAGTCAGCGGCACTGGCAGGCAACCAGAATCACTCGCAAAATCTGCCTGCAGCCTCCCCAAAAAATCCCCCATCTTCACAATTGCTCACTGCCCCAAAATGGTGTGATGGAGAAACCTCTGTCCCTGTGGCACTGTTTGAGGCTCAGTTTTAAAACACAGACCACCAGTGCTGCCAGCCGGCATGGCAGCAGAGGAGGGTGCCTGCTGCAAGGCAGGCTGGATTTGGGGAAACCCATTTCTCCTCCTATTCCTCCTCCATGTCCCCCACCATCCCCAGGATATGGCTCCCCCCCC